CTGACTACAGAGAGGGCCAGGGGTAACTAACTCAGACTTACATGAATAATTTCTAGGTGAGATGAGTCTCTTCTGCTGACAATGCAGAATAATCCCCACAATACTGGGTTTTTGCTTCACTGTTCTTTATCCATTACTTATGTCATGGTCTCATGGGAGAATGTTGCAGGTGGGATTTTTTCTTCAGTTCATCATGTGTGAACATACCTTGCTTAGATGAGTGTGGCTTTCCCAAGAGGGAAGACTTTTCCAGGCTTGGTTATTTGCCTAACATCTTGCATTAATTATACCCTATCAATCCCAGTTTCTTCTTATTACTACAGCTCCCTTGAAGAGCCGCATCACGTACCAATAATGCTTAATAAATGTCTATAATAATATTCCATGTATCCGTATACATGGTGTGTCTCTATTCTGTCATGTTCTGTCCTGTGTGATGCAGTGTTTCACAGCAGATAGCAGAAGGAAGTCAGAGCAGTGTGTATGGCTTCTTGCTTGTTGGCAGGTGTTTCACTGCAGAAACTCTCACTTATTGCCTTATGAATACTTGTGTATTCATATCACAGTGCATGGAAAAAGTTACACTATGGACAACTAAGCACTGTAGAAACCCTGAGCAAAACCAGCCTTTGCTCTAGAGGCTTTGCTGTCTACACTTCCTCCTCCCTCTGAAATAAGGTGTCACTTCTCATCTACAAAACTGAATAATTTGGGATCATTCTAGAAGAGGGAAACTGCCTTGCTCAGTTTGTTATACTGCTGTGATAAAACTCAGAAACACCTCCCAGGCTGGACTATGCCTGGTGGGACTGACAGTCTAGAGCCTTGTCCAGAACAGCTCTTTGTTTTTTCTTCAATTCATTGATCTTCATGCTCATCCATCCAAATAATCCTTTTATCATCAGTACTGCCAGAGGTAGTTTAAGAAAAGGAGAGTATTTTCTTTTCATTTGATTGATTGCAAGTGGTATAATTATTTCAGAATGCATTAGCTGTTAAAATTTTGTAGAAATTGTTTGGGGTTTTATTTTAATTATACATGTGTTTTTGTGTGTTCTGTGTCTATCACAAGATACAAACAGGCTGAACTGAATAATTATGTGAATTGCTCACTTTAAACATTTTGGCCATCTGACCAGTTCTAGTAATATTCTGTCTATGATCTTGGTAATAGTGAAAAATCATGAGATAAGATGATAGCTAAATATGAATAGCAATTTAAAGGCTTCTTTTACCTTTCTGGTTATTATTTGCTCCTAGATTGTTTATTTGTAGAAATGTGCACAGGTTTTTGGGGGGGAGGAAAAAAAAAAGGGAAAAAAAGAGCCACAGAGTGATTGGTTTTTTTTCAGCCTTTGATACCAGGTTCTAATTATATACTTTCAGAATTCAGCCTTTCATACTGTGCATTTCATTTCCTGTTAACTATATTCCTTGGTACTACGGTCTTTAGCACTCTGGTAGGCTTTTCCACTAGGTAACTGATCTATCTGAAATATTTAGAGGATGTTTGTGGCCAGTTATGAGTGGAGAGCAAAGTTCAGTGTAGGGTAGTTTAAAGGCAGATCAATTATTTATATATTTAGAACAGTTACTGAAACTTTATCTGGCCCTAAAATCCCTTGAACTAGACAGAGTGTGATAAACAAATAGCCTGTTGTGGTTTTTTAAATTTTGATAAATATTATTTATTACTTTTTAACTCTTTGGTGATAGCACATTCTGTTTGAGAGCAGTGGATGCAACTCTACTTAAAAAGAACTTAATTCACATTCATTCAAGACATTTTATTTTCTCAAATTTGTAGTGGTGGTGCCATCATTTTTGACTGTTTATTTTATTAATGTCATTGAAGAATTATTAAGAATTAAGTTACTATGATTCATGGAGGCTGTTGTTTCTTGTTGATCACTGTTGATCAAGATTTGCTGTTGGTGAAAACTGGAATTTTTACTATGAATCTAAACCAGGAGCATTGCAATAGCTGGAGTTTTTCTGAGGTGATTCCAGACAAAGTGTAGCAGCTCATAAAATTATGATATTGGCAAGCAAGGTGATAGAAAATTCAAATATGCAGAGTATCCCCTAGATAGTCAGGCAGAGATCTTGAGCTTTTGGAAAATGGTCCAAAGTATCTATGTAATAGGTAAAGGGAGCCACCTAGAGTAAACCTATAGGAATCTCTACATATAAGTGTATGTGTGATCTTCTGCCACTTACTGCAGCTTAGGTGCCAAACTGAGAGCTAAATGTTAAACCCATTTATCTCTCCTGAGAGCAGGCACCTAAATAAGATTAGATCCCCCTTTAAATGTTTTACAATGCTAATAAAGAGTTAGGATAGTTACTGGATTTTATCTTGGGGAGCATTGGGGAAAAAAAAGATTGGTACTAAAGTCTCCCTCCTTCCATTTGAGGACTCTGACTGGTATAGTATATAATTAGCCTCTTTCCAGTTTGGAAACTCTCTCTTTGGACACATGGTTCCTGCCTCTTAAAAGTAGTTTTCTTATAAGCCATTCTTGTTTCTGCTAGTTAATTAGTAATTGATGGGGTTTGTCACTCCACTTCAAGCTGGGCTTTGCTGTAATTTTTACAAACTAGGTGGGGAGAGGCATGCTTGGTATTACTGGTGTGTTTAGCTGGGAGGCCAGAAGGAAAACCCAGCTGTGCCAGGAAGCAGTGCTGGTGACTCAGTAAACAGCATGGCACCAAGTGTCCCGGCACAGTGTGTTTGAGTACTGCTTTCCCTGTTTTGCTATAGGTTAAATCTCAGAGCTGCTAGTCATTACAGGATCATACTTCACAAGAGTAAGGTATTAAACCCCAGACAAATTATACGATAGGTGACTGTCCTCCTTGCCCTTACCTGCAGCGTCACCTAAATTACACAGTCTTACCCACTGACTTAAACCTTTCTGAACACAGGTGGAATTGCTCTTCTGTCCCAGAGGTGGCAGCAGTTTGGAGCAAGTGAAGTGATTTCTACACATGCAAGAAGTCAAGCCCTTTGGGATTTTAGATGGAGAGCATTGTGGATATGTAATGGCTCATTACTTCATAAAGTTACTTAATGTTTAGAGTTGAGATTTTGCAATATCACAATTAATGTAAGTGGTTCACTGCACTTGGTGCTAGTGTTCATGCAGCAGCCTAAAGCAGTACTATTGCCACAATAAGCAGAGAGCAGAACAGTGAGCAAAGAGGAGCAAGCAGTACTTGCGTTTGACTTGTGGTTCTGGTTTTGCTCCATCTGGGTGCTTGCCACAACAGAGATGACCAAATATTTGCAGAGAGTTCAAATCCTCTGCCCTTCCCAACCTCACCCAGTTGGTGGTAAAAGTAGTTTAACCACAGGCGGGTACAGACAGTTCACCGTGGATGTTTGCAGCACTAAAATCAGTGCAACTGATGCCACCTTGCATGTGAATTTTAGTTTCTATGGCAGCTTTAGTTCTGTAATTCTTCATTTGTTGCACTGTGAATTCCTTCACGTTACTCTGTGGTGTATTTTAGGGACTCTCAGAATACCAATGGATAAATACACCCTTCTGCAGACACCTCCAAGGGAAGGAAAGAAATCTGCTTAGGTATCACACATCTCTGCCAGGCAAAGCCTCTGCATGACTGAGACCCTCCCACCACCCAGGTTCAGAGCTTTTTAGGGAAGAAAACTGACCACTTTTTAATACACTATGAAGTTGTTGGAAGCAGTTCTTGGTGGCAAGAGCAAGCTGCCTGGAAGCCTTCTCATTGCTGGCCCACTTTTGACTGCTCCTCCCTATCATCATCCCCTGGCACTACAGCTTTAATAAGACTAGTATTGTTTTAGCAGATGAACCCAGAGGGAGTTGTGGTACACTTGGCACAGAAAGCAGGACAGAGTCTGGAGCCTGACTGTTCTTTGGCTCTGACTTTCCCTTCCAAACTCAAGCTCTCACAGACTGTTCCTGTGGTGTTTCCAGTTTCCAAGAGCTATCAGCAGCTTTGAGACAGAATGGATACTTGTTCTTCACAAGAAATGCTTTGACCAGCGAAGGAAATGGTCAAGTAGATGTGTCTTAGGTTGCCTTTGCTGTCTTAACCTGAATGGCCTGATATCTTTTAGAGAGCTGTGAAACTATTCTTTCAGTTTTCTTTGTTTTGGGACTAGGAGTATTTTTGGGTCCTGGGCTGTACCAGAGGCTGGGCACAGCTCATGACATTGTGGCAATTGGCCATAGCCATTCCCCAACCATGACTGGGGACTCTGGTTTCAAATTGGAGAGAGCTTGTCTATTAAGACATGGTATTACATTGTCTGGAATTATAGTGACTAAGAAGCTGCTTCACATACAGCACAGCCTTGTACTTGGCAAAGGGAGGCTGGTGCTGGGAGGTTTAAGGTGACCAACCCCTTCAATGTGTGCTACTTTGTAATTCAGAGGCAGTGCAATTCAGAGGCTTCAGCTTCTGAAGCCAGCTAAGTTAGGCCCAGTCTGAATTCTATACTCCAGAAAAGTAGGGAAAGAAGGTTTTCAGTGCAAAGAAGATTTTCAGTGCTCTCCTGTCTGACTTGTATGTCTCCTGCTACACCGTGGAATTCTTTACCAGTTTGAGCTGCAATGTTTTTGTTACAACTTGATTTTAACCTGTGTGTGTGTTTAAATCAATTTCTAAATCTCTTAAGAATACCAAACTGTGAATAGAGGATAACTCTGCTAGGTCCAAGTGAAGGCATTCAAAATGGGCTATGAAGTGAATATTTATTCTGCCTAATATGTCATTGTGTTTCCATGCTAACACTACCCTTTTTGTTACCATGTAATCAACTGTTACAGAAACAATACATTGTCCCTAAGGTAAGTTTAGAAAAATGTTCACCCACAAGGTACCCACTGGATAAATCCAGTTTTAACAACATAGTGTTTAAAGCCTTACACTGTGTTCACAGAGCATCAGCAAGATGTTCTTACTTGAAGCCATCCCCAGATTACCGGTTTCCCTGTATTGTTCCTCAGGCCCTACATGTCCATTGGAACACTACGAGATCAAGTCATCTATCCAGACTCAGTGGAAGACATGCATGAGAAGGGCTACCAAGATCAAGATCTAGAGTCTATTCTGCATATGGTTCATCTGTACCACATAGTTCAAAGAGAAGGAGGTAAACTGCATATTTTTATTAAAAACTTGACAAAATCTGTCACTTGTATATGTGTCTTAGTGTGACTGGCCTTTACTGACTGAACTGGCAAAACTAGATTCAGACCTTTATGATTGTGGGAGCTGCACAGACACATGGTTGTTGTTCCTGATGCTAGCAGAGGGGGAAGAGCTGAGTGCTCGTCCCCTCTACAGTAAATCCATGCCCAAGTTGAACATCCTCACTATCATGTGATGGCCTGTCTTTTCCTGGTATTGTGGGATCACTTACCCTCCTTGATTTTCATAAAAACTGTAACGTATCTTAAAACATTGTAATGTCACTGACTATATCAATTTGCAAGCAGATGTGCTTTCAGCTCCCTAGTTTGTGGGATCAGCAGGACTGTGTGCCATGAGAAGGTGTCTGAGACCACCCCACCAGAGCAAACAAGTTAAAAACAACCAAGCAATGCTGGCTGACGGTAGAATGTTGCCATCTACTGCTTGCTGTTTAAGTTGCTGTGTGTTCTCAGCATTGTTTGTTCTCAGAGTTAGTGAGAGTGTATATGTATATATGTGAGTGTGTATATATATATATATATATATATATATATATATACACTGTCACTATAAGTGTCAAGATGCTAAAGGCTTCTTTTGTATCTAAGGAACTGGAGCATTTCATGGCTTTTTTTCTTCAAGCACAGCAATAATTCTTACCCTTTTGTTCCTATCAGACACTAATCTCTAGTTTCAATTTCTTCCCCATCATTATGCTTTTAAAACAGACATAGAACAAAGTTGGTAACATTTAGAGAGAAGAAAAAGGATCTTCAGACTCCTTTAAGGGGTGTGCTAAATGTACCAGCTGTCAGTGCTGGTTTTGATCAGGTACCTTCCCTTGTGTGTGCTTGGTGAGCCTTGGGATTGTTCTGACAACACAGAGTAGTGCTTCAACTACTGGGAATCCCAAGACAATGTCTAAATTCCCATTCCTGGATGGCAGCCAGTTGTTCTGTTAAAGAGGCAGAAGCTGTCTTATTTATTTTAAAGTATATGTGGATACTTCAGTATTTTCTGCACATTTTAGAGTGGGAGTTAGTAATCGTTTGCAACAGCAATTGTATACCTAAAGATACTTCTCCACCATGAGTTAATACTTCTTTGTTAAGAATCTAATAATGACTGTTGCAATAGAAAATAAGAATCTGCTATCATTCTGATTCATGTTAATATTCAAATCTGATCCTATAATACAAGTAGGCAGAGCTAAACTCAGTGACTGCAACAATTGCAGAAAAGGCCTCTCCTTCCTACACTGACACTACAACTATTCCTGTTAATATTCCTGAGTCACTTACTTCACGAATGTGCCCAAATAGCAGAAGAACAAGCAGGAGTGTTGGAACGGACAGCTGGAAAAGGAGGAGCAGTTAAATTGCAAAGTGTGCGCATTCACTGTGCACTGGTACGTGTGGTTGGACTGCACAACATGTGACTCTTGGTGGCCAAAGCTACACCCCAGCAGTCTCTGAGTGCACATGGTTGTGGTTTCTGACCCTGCAGCTGGAGTGTGTAACTGGTGACAGGGCAGTCACTGTGCCCCATGTGCAAGATGCCTTGGCTACAGTCACTGAAACCCCAGGTTCGGATCAGTCTCATGCTGCTTTCCATGCCAAAGAAAGTATTTGTTACTGTTCTTGCTGTTCTGCCTGTCTGACTGCGCATGCACAACACACACAATCTATTACAAAGTCTAGAGGACACTGTTAATGTTCACTGGTGCTATATTGAAGCTCAGGATAAGGGCACACTGTGCAAAAGTTTGCATAAACAATTGCTGGGGAAAAATGTCTTGGGTGCTTTGTGATCTAAAGCGACAGAAGTGGGCAAAGCTGGAAAATAGGGAGAGAGATTACCACATACCAGGAAGTTTTTAGGACCATAATATACTTGTTCACTTTTCTTCTTTGGCATTTGCAAGAGACAATTTCCAAGGTAGGAGCAGAGGGGAAATCTGTGACATATGATTTGACATGTTATATGGATTTCATATGCTTGGATGTTTTTTAAAGCTGCCCTGGTCTGGGACAAAGACTCATATTCTGTGGTTTTCTGAACCAGCAAGACAGAGAAATACTTGCTAAAAGTGAACAGTTGAAATTTTTTGTTTATACATAAACTAATATTTTTAATTCCAATTTTTATTTTATTATTTTGCTTAAAATAATATTTTTAAATGAAAAATATCTTTATTAAAAATGGAACTCTTTTCTTTCTAAAATAATGAAAAATCTCATATAAACCTCTTGTGCTTTAATTGATCACGAATGTCATGTGTGTATAATCTGATGTTTTGCAGTTTTGTGTTCTGCTCCTTGTGAGCAGTTATAAAAAGCCAGATGAAGCCAGAGGTCCGCAACTTTGACTCAAATTATTTGTTCTGGCATGACGTTATTGTTTTTAGCTGAATTACTTCCACATTGCAGCAGTAGAAGGATCACAGCATTCCAAGTATTATGTCTGACGTTGTTTCTGTTGCTGCCAGTGACAGAAATTCCTTCTTTTTCTAGCATTAAGGTTTGACCCAGCCAGAAGTAAATAAAATAAATAGCCCAATTTGGCATTTAGCTTCCATGTTACCCTCATGATACGTTTTTCAGTTGGTATCAATAGCATACATGAAATCCACCAAAACAGCAATCCCTCCCCAGCCCCATTGTTCTGGATGTTCCTGAGCCCAAGCCCTCGAAGAACCCAGTGGCTGTTGGCAGTAGCCCCCTTGCTGCTGGGTGCAGAGCTCCCTTTCCACTGAGGCCCACACTAATGTTTTTTCACCATCTGGATATTAGACAAATGCTGTTTTGTTACTTAGCTTTTTATTATCTGTAAGGTTCCCTCATCAACATCTGCAAAGTTGTTAGCTCTTCCAGAACCATAATTTCATACAAAATAAAGGTTGTATTCAGCGTGTGTGGTGAAAAAGCATATCCAGAAATGGGGGCTAAAAGCATGGAGATATGCAATACATATACCTAAAGTAGTTCCTTCTGACCTGCTTTGAAAACCTGTGTATATTTAGCAAGTGTCAGTGGAGATGCAGCCCCAGGCTGCTGACAGCCTGTCACACGAGAGGAGCCATTAGGCCATAGAGCTGCGCGGTGCACGCGTGACTGGGCCTGTCCGGTTGGGGCTGATGACATTACTGAGCAAGTTCAACCTGTTTATGGTTTCTCAGCACCCCAGATTATAATTATTCCTCATTATTTTGTGCATTTGTCATATCTTTGGATGTTGTCCAGGGAGCCTTTGTGCTAGGCCATGTATAAACAGATGGACAAGCCCATTTCCTCTCTCTGAGATTATTTCATCTGATCGCTTTAGCCCTGGATTTGTTTTTGTTACTGGTACCAGCAGGAACTCTGGAGAGCTCTGCCAGCTTTTCCAGTGGCTCTGAAATCCAGAGACAAATCCCTGCAGTGTCATGCTGAGCTGAGGCTCATGCAGTCGATGGTCTCTTTGTTCCTTGCTCAGCTCCAGGTTGTCCTTGCATATTCATCCTGAGAGCACTGGGCTCTTTACATACTCTGTGAAAGAGGCTTCCATGCCCAAAAACTCAGCAGGGGTCAACTCTCTGGCTGTGGTCTGCTGTGGTCCATGTCTGATAAGTTGCACTGGAATGTAGATCTGAAAAAGGAACTTTGAAGTTTTTCATGGCAGCTGAACGCTCCATCTTGCATGAAAATGCAAGGATTCACAAGGATGGAGAATACAGAGGGGTATGGATCCCAGGAGTAACCTGTTTGGGTTTTGCCAAATACAGCTTGCATTTTCCTTCAGAAAACTGAGATTAAAGGAATTACAAAAGAAGCCATGCAAGAAAATGAAATGCTGCTATCCTGAGGCTATCACTAGTGTTTACTGGCAGCTGTATGTATTTCTGCTGCTGTTACTGTGCCCCAGTACATTAAACATGCTCTTTGTCTTACTGGCTGCAAAAGCCATAACAAGGTGGGCAAGGAATTTGGACTCTGACAGCCAGGATTGTGCTTGTACTTACTCTAGAGATTTGTGCTGCATTCATGGGCTAGCCATTTAATTTCTTCATTTCTGAAGTGGATGTAGTTATGGGTGACCTAAGCCACTTGGCTGATACTTCCAGAACACTTAAGCACCTTCACTGACCTGTGCCATGTTAGCAGGAAGAAACAGGAGACAAGTAGGTGCACTATTGTCCACAGAAGGGGGGGAGTCAGTTTAGTGTGAGTTACAAATGCCTAAGTGTTCAGAAAAAAATATTTAGACACTAGAAAAGAGTTTTTTAAAAGGGATAATATAAAATTGCACACTTCCTTATCTGTTGTTTGAGGCATTCCAGGTGGAAAATAGGAGGGTTCAGGGAGGCTGCCAGGCAGAAGAGACAAGATGCACATGTCATATTCAGTTAGAATATAAATTGAAGTGACCACAGAGATGACCATTGTATCCAGATAAACAGAGGTTAAATCTTACACCTTCATAGAAAATAATAAAATTGTTTTACTGACAAGAGGATGCTACTTTTTGAACTTCATTCCCCTTTTGTCTTTTAATAAGCCTTTATAAACCAGCTGATCAGGAAGAAACTGTGTGAACACAGGCACTGCTTCCCCAGGCACATGTGCACACATGCACACCCACCCACACCCTAGCTCAGATCCAGGTCCTGAAGCTCGTCTGTATTCTCACCTTAAAAATAACAGAACATAAGCAGCAGCTTGATTGTTGTCAGAAACATAGCTGTTTCTATGGTTTCTTGAAGAACTGTTTCCACCCCTTGCTAGAACCCTTTGCCAAAGGCGAGCACTCCAGGTGTTTCACAGTGCTTTTTGGAAGCTCAGTGTGTTGGTGGAACAGCACTCCAGCTCTCTGAGGTCCCAGCACTGGGACTGCTCAACAATAGCAGCCTGTGTGTATCTGTTCCCTTTACCAAAGAGTATCCAAATGGTTCCTCAGTTAATCACTACACAACTCCATCCTTGCTGGGAGCCTGCTGATAGAAAGCATTGTATGTGCTCCTGGGAGGGTATCCACTGGCATCCTTACACAAGAGTGGAAGGAAAATAGGGAAAAACTATAGGATCACTAAAGGTGTTATCTTTCTTGCATATGCCTGGTTTTTAAATCTAACTGTACAAATATTTATTAAAAAATCATTACATTATATATTCTAATTTTATGTAGAACAAAATCTTGACATTTAGTCTCTGTCATTATCAATTACTGGTTTTGGTCACACAGCCCCTCATCATATGTTTCAATGATGTTTTGTTCAGGCCTGCCAAGCCCTGGTATAGCACCAAGCAGAGGCAGAGCAGTACCAAGCCTCCTGCACATTCACAAGCCCCATTGTCTCACATTTGCTCAACTATCAGAAATAACAGCCCACCCTCCTTGGTTTATCTTATTTATAGTCTTTTCTGTCAAATATTTATTTTAAATTTGGCAGTGGCAGAAAAGGGGTTTTGGCTGTGTTATTAACTTCTTAGTTATGGTATTTCCGTGGCTGATCTGAAAAAATGTTCTCTTCCTGTCAGCCCTGCTTCAGCTGCTTGTCTCATGAATAGATGATCAGTTGAGAAAAATGTCTTATCAATTTTTTTTCTACATCCTCACCCTTATTTTTGAAAATTCATCTATTTTGCTAGTCTATCCATCTGGATTGTTTGACTGAAAACTTATTTTCAATAAGGTAATTTGTCACTTTTTTTTTTCAGTAGGAGGAATTATTCATGCCCAAGTACTCACAGGACACCAGTCTGTTTTAAGATCACAGATAAAATGCCTCGTGCTCCTGTTGCATGTACCTGAAAGTGATAAAGAAATAAATCAGTTAGAGAACATGCAGAATATTAAATAAGGATACCCCAGGTTATAACAGGTGTGGATTATTTTTAAATACAAGGTTGAAGGAAATTTTTTTAGAAGATTCTCCTGTCTGATGGCAGTTTTTCTGCCTGTCTGTGCACACAGATGCATCACTGTGTCTGCAGTTGTGTTTCTGTTGGGTTTGCTGACAGTTTTCTTTGCCTACAGTAGTGAGTGCAGTCTGACACTGCTCTTTATTTTGTACACTTTATTTATTTTACTTTGCTTTTAAATTTCCACTCATACCTTTCAAGAAGAAATAGAGAATTGTTCTATGAAGCAAATATGACAGTAAAATTACTAGTTATATACAGGTCAAAGAGTTTTTTTCAAAGAGATGGTAAGTAAAGTGTTTTGACAATATCCACATGACCAAAAAGTCTAAATTCCACTTTCAAAATTGTCATGATATAAGGGACATTTTTCCAGTTGATTGCCAGTGGATAGGCATTGAGGTATTTCAGAAGATGTGATTCAGTAGCCTGAGCAGTTGAAATGTTCTTTATGATTTTGGTTATAGATTGCAGAAGTGTTGCAAGTGAAGCTGCATTTCCTTCATAAACTTATATTGTCCTGACTAATTTTGTTTGCATTTTTTTTTAAAAGGCTGGGATGCCATCATGGATTGGAAAGATGTCTTATCAGGAGGAGAAAAACAAAGGATGGGCATGGCCCGGATGTTTTACCACAAGTAAGTGTTATTTAAGAAGCATTTGAAAATGAGAAAGAGCTTTGCAGATTTCCTGTTAGAGTGGTAGTAGACTATAATCTGCATGCACAATGCAACACTGTCTAGCTTAAGACCTGCATAAATCTTGTTCATTCATACAAGCTCTGCCTTTGGTTTGGATAATGCTTCTTCAGCTTTGCATTTGGCAACATAGCATTATTTTTTTCAGATATTTCTTTCTTTAACATCTCAGGCACAAACATCTTCCTACAAATGTTGCCGAGTGTGATGGACTGTTGCAAAAAGCTCTTGGAGTTTGAAAGCCAACCTTTACGTTTTGATTTTGGAGACTGCAAGCACACAAAGGCAGCCCAGACCTTATATAGCAGTCAATAGGAGGCTTTGAGTTGGCTTTAGCTATTGCATAACTTGATGAGAGTACAAAATAATACTAGGTCAGACAGGACATAGAAGTTAGATCACTGTGTACTCAAATTGGCCAGGAAATAAACCCCATTTTTCCTGGAAGTTGCCTTTTCACCTGAGTAATGCATGGAAACTTCACGTTGTTTCTAGCCAGCTTCCAGCTGTAAATAAGAGGCAGCTGTCTGGCAAAAAGTAAGTCTCTGTTTCCTGTTGTTCTTTCAATTAAACCTTGTACATGGGAATACTAGGCCTAAAACCTAGAAGAATAATGTTCTTTATTTTCTTTTAAAAGGCCGAAATATGCATTGCTGGATGAATGTACGAGTGCTGTAAGCATTGATGTTGAAGGAAAGATATTCCAAGCTGCAAAAGCTGCTGGGATATCCCTGCTTTCCATAACACACAGACCTTCTCTTTGGTAAGTATATTCAGGGCTTTATCATGATCCTTGCTTTTAGCTCTCTGACAAGCAGTGGATTGGCCTTTATTCTTCATACTGGGGCAGTTTTTAAGTCTGCAGTTTCTAAGATAAGTTATCTACAACAGTAGTGATGTAAATTAATTTAGCGTGGATTTTTTTCATGATTTGAAAGGTATTTATTCATCCCTCTTATTTTTTTAATGTGTTTCACTTATTAATATGCAGATGTCTAAGAGGTAAATAATTAGTCTATGCCACAGCCACAACAGGTATCACCACCGGGTTTTTCTGTAAAGGAGAAAAAATATGTGAGGTATCCTGGGGAAGTTTAATGTGCAGGGAGGAGATGGGAAACATGTCAAGTGGTTAAACTATACTTTATTCCTCCATAGGAATACTATGTCTGTTTTTTTAACAGTTGTGTCCTTTATCTGCAGCATTTAGCTTCTTGATTTTTTTGTGAGTTTGGTGGGGGAAAAATAGAAGGATAGGTTAAGCAGTTGATATCACAAAGGATAATATGCGTGAAGTGGTGAATATTAGACTGGAGATGAGTCTCTTTTCAGTCCCATGTCATAAGCCATTGAGTTTATTAAAACTGTCATATTCCCTGGATGGGATTTATAATCAGTGTTTTATGACACATTTTACGTTCTATAATTTATAGTGATAAATTACTAAGTCATACTAGCAGCTCTGAGGGAACTCTCTGCTCTTCCTCTGGCACCTCCTGAAAAATGTTTTGCCAGGTCTTGACAAACTCCGCATGTACACCTTTGAATATTTTTGATGCACACACCCTGATACTCACTGAAAGATCTGTGACTCCTACACAGACTTTTTTATTTCAGCCCCTTGCAAACTGATCCATGTTTTAGGAATAAAGTTACCTTTAGCCAACCTTATAAGACACAGGGGAACAAAACTTGAGTTTTATCAGTAGGATCAGGTGCATCATGCCTGCCTCTCTGTATTTGCTGCCAAAGAGGTAAGACATCTATCAGAAAGTGAGGTAAATAAAATAAACTGGGACTAGAATTCCTGAGGGAGAAATGAACCTTTTCCGATGCTGCTGTTCTAGCTCCTGGGGAAAAAGGCATCTGATGGAGTTGTAGTGAAGGCAACTGTAGCCACAATGTTTCTAAGAAGGAGGCAGTAGGAGGGGGCCACCACCTTGGCCAGGGACAGCAAGTGATGAGTGGACCTTGCATGGCCCTGCTGCCCACTCCTGCCAGCATCCCTGCAGCTGAGGGGCTCAGAGCTGGCCATGTGGGCTGCAGGGGCAATGACTGTCCCAGCTGGGAGCCCACAGCAGTACTGTTGCTTCCAGCTGGCACTCGCCGAATTTCACTCTTGGCCTGGGGCGGTCCTGGTGACAGGCTTTGAAACAACAAATCCCATATGAAAGAGTGTCCTGGAATGACGAGGAATCGAAAAAAGAGTCTTACCCAGTGATCTAGAACTGGACAAATCAAATTCCTGAGAGGCACCTTTGAAAAGAGACACATACATCCAAATTTGAATGCAATAATAAACCATGTGTTCCGTGAGCCATTACTAATGTTTTAATCTCTACTGCAGGAAGTACCACACTCACTTGCTGCAGTTTGACGGACAAGGTGGCTGGCGTTTCGAGCAGTTGGACACCGCTATCCGTTTATCATTGAGTGAGGAAAAACAGAGACTGGAATCCCAGCTTGCAGGAATTCCTAAAATGCAGCAGAGACTGAATGAACTGTGTAAAATCCTGGGAGAAGATTCAGTGCTTAAAACAATGGACAAAGAGGAATAAATAATTTATGGTTTATGTTTTTAAAAGTATTTTTTTAGTTAAAAGCGTTACAAATTCAGCCATTATCCTTTGCATGCATTGTGACAGAGGCTTAGAGCATAACACAGCCAGCAGAAAATAATGCTCTGAATGCTATGTAAGACTTCAGTGTTTTAGTATTAAGGAGGAAAGTGGTTGAACTGTGAAAAGAAAATAAGCAAGTGCACAGACTATAAGATTAGTCATTACAGCTTATGTTAATTCCTAGTGAAAGCCCAATTCACTGCAAGAAACTACCAACAAACTTAGGGTTTTTTCGGTGAATTTTTGCCTGAGACTCGGCCTGCAGAATGTGCTCTTGTACCAGGTCACTGTGTGCGTATGACATGCCTGCTACGCAGAGCAACCGGGCATGACACTCAGGCATGGAGCACAGCAGGGGCAGTATCTGGGTGAGTATGCAGATGCATGCAAAAATCACATTTGGGTATAAGAAACATTCTCTCAGCCCATGTAAAATAAGACTTCTGTTCTACTACTGAATAGTATACATGCCTTTACCTGCATTTCCATAGGAAATAACGTAATAGGCTGACTAGAAGACAACTGTCTGAGCAACCCACTGCCCTCATTACAGAGAAACAGGGACAGAGCTAAACATGTAATGTACTTGTGCTTCATGCCATTACACATAGCTTCAGAGGCTCTTTGCCCTTCATGATACATCAGTTCCTTTGGGGGATAATTTATGTCCCTTACTTGGTAACCTCAGGTGGTGTGGATGGAGCACTGGGCCTGGCATCAAGTGACTTAGTTTTCGCTTGACTAAATCATTCATGTGCTTTATGGGTCCAATCCAGCTGGCATCTATATCTGTGCCAGTTCCTCCATTGGCATAATCACAATATAGACACTTGTTTGTTCCATGAGACACTTTGTGAGAAGGACTGTAGGAGAAGGAAATGGCAGTTTCTAACAATATGCTGAATTCTCAGGCATGGCAGTCCTGCCAAATGAAATGTTCAGCACTTATAAAGGTCTGTGAAAAGTTAGAGCATTTGGTAACCACTAATGAATATACATGCCATATTCTGGTGGAGTGGCTGAACATTGCCCTCCCTGTGAAAAAAATGCACTGGTAAACAGCCTTGCTTTCAGATGCACTCACTGATTGTCCCATCAGCTTTTCAGTTCAGGTCCCCAGTCAGTCAGAAGGTGCTTTAACTGAACTGCCTGAGACTGTGCTGGCCTGAGTGCCTTGCTGAATACAAAAGCTGGAGAATTAGAAATAAAGATGTGAATGTATTTAAGAGCTCCTGTTCTCTCTGACTGCAAGTGCATGGCAAATGGGCAGCTGGGGAGTGAAAATCAGGAGGGGTAAGAGGCTTTGCAGATGGGTAAATGAGCCTTAGCCCAGATGTAGCAATCCTGAAGTTTGTTGGTTCTTTTTTTTCCCCAGAAGTGTGATTCCTTAGAAGATTTCTGTCTGTTGTTCTTAGTCTGAGAGAAGAAGTGCATAAACTGCTAGGAACTGTTTGGAGAGGAGAAATATTTTAGGGGCATTTGCTGAGCTGGAAATGTTTGAGCACCCTGAAGTTAATATAAACTGTTTCTTTTTTCTGATTGCTTCAAGAACAAGAGGAATGTGAATTAACTCCATCTGCCAAATCCCAGTCCAGTGCACTAAACATTCACCATATTCCTTTTCAGTGTGCTCAGCTTGCTGCTTGGTATGGCATTTGCACCAGAAAATGGAGCAAGTCTGCTCCCTCCATAGTCTGTGGCTTGAATGTAACCCAGTAACTTACCCTGGTGACAACAGTTGATTCCTTTCATTAGTTTTTTCTGGAGAGCCCCCTGAGACATCTCACTGATACAGAAAGGAACGCTCCTGGGAACCTTTGAAAGGGCTGAAAAATTAAGGTTCAAGATAATAAGATGTTGTGTTGTAAAGCACAGATGGAGGTCACTGCTGGGGTGGCTGACGTGTATGCATTTTAATTTGCAAATGTCTGTGCTTGTCCCTCTCCCTGAAGGTGAGCTTTCCCCTTTCTCATCTTCAAAGCAAAATTCATCACTGCTAAGGAAAAAAAGAAGTCGGCCAAGAATCTGTTCTCAGTGAGCATAACTGAGGTGACTGATGAGTGTAAAAGCTTGCAGGTTCCTGATTGATGTTTCTCTAAGATGAGATGAATCTGGGCACACCATGCACATACCCTTTACCCAGCTGCAGTGCATCCTGCTAGCACAAGGCAGCCACAAAACCACCTTTCCACAAGCCTTTCCCAAGCCAGGACCTGAGGTGGAGGAAGGGGCATTGCTGTTCCCCACCTCTCCATTTAGCACTTTAACATGTGGTTGGGAACTAAACCAGGGTTGTCCACTCCCTGAATGAGTGGGATACTGAAAAGTGCTGAAGAATTGGCCCAGTTTGGCACAGCTCCAGATATCCCACCAAAGCTCTGGCCCTGTCCTTTGACTTGCTGGGAGCCATTGTGGGCAAGTGGAGCACCTGAAATCTGCTGTATGCCTTACAGAGATCAAAGCTGGCTATCCCTCATGGCACAAAACAAATCTCTTCAGAGGAAACCATGTTTAGTAGAAGAAAGTTGGTTTGCTGGTTTTTTTAAAATGAGATTATGCATAAAACATACTAAATTTATATATGTTACTGATAAGATTTTGATGAAAACTGACATCACACCAGGATCAATCTAATAGTATTTTCTTTGAAGTTTGACATATATTTCTTGGATCCAGTAATAAAAAACCACTCCCATTCAGCTGTATAGTCTAAAATACTCCAGCATCTCACTCAGCTATTTATGTTCCTGTAGGCATGGCAAAAACATTAGAGGCTGATAGGAGAAGAAACTCTTCTCTAAACAGGAACTTACTGAGTGATACTGAGCTGGATTTAGAAGAATTTCTGTACTGGTGGCTCATTATTTTTCAAGTTAGTTTTGTGTCAGGAAGAGAAGCTGCCTGGAGGTATTTTCTGCAAACCCGTGTTGTTCCAAGGGCTAATTGAGACTGGAGTCTCCATTTCTGTTCCTGGAGAGTTTTACAGGGCATAGTCCAGCTCATTTTGTGCTGCTTCAGGCCCAGCCTAGCAGAGGTGCATGTTCCCTGCTCAGGAATAGTTCAGGGAGACACTGTTCTGGAGCCAGGGCAGGGCACCACATGGCTGAGACTCAAAGTGGGACAGGATGCCTTGGTGGATGATTTTTTTGTGGTGCAATGAGAGCTGCTTATGAATGTTCATTCCCTTTTTGGTGTTCAGTAGCTGTGGCTCCCCAGGAAGCTGAGGAAGTTGCTTTTTGGCCTCCTTTCTGCCTGTCATACCAATCTGGAGCTAGCCAGACCCCATCACGGTGTCTGTGCATTCAGGGCTGGGTACTGCCCAGTGCCGAGCACACCCAGCCCTGTGAGCGCCCTCTCACCCCCCAGGCTCAGGGCAGACTGGATTTCCTGGGTCTGTTGGCACCTAGAGAAGTAGAGATGATGAGCAAAATTCATACCTGCCTCAGGCAGGTAGTGTCTGTACAACAAAAATACGAATTCTCCATATTACTGTGTTCAGATAATGCAAAGTGGTTTTGCAAGAATCTTCAGAATGAAAGGACACATTTTTTGTGCATGGGATTTCACTATTTTAACCTGGAAGGAGTTTCTTTTTCACTTAGTTTTGTGGTCAGACTCATTCCTGGTTTGGACTTGGAAACCCTCCTTCTGCAGGGACAGAAAACCCCACGTATGTTTCAAAGGAATTTTTCAAAAGCAGTGGGATGTCGCTCTATTAGGAACGGCGAGAGAGCGACACAGACTCTCTATGGAGTCGGTTAGGAGAATGTCTCGTAGTTTATTACTTCAGCTCTGTTTTATAGACTGATACGTGGAAAGTACAGAAAGGAAACTCTTATTGGTTAGCAAACCACTACATCACCATCATTGGTCAGTGGGGCACACACCCCCCGACCTTCTCCTTCAAAGAAAACAAGAGACAGAGAAACAACATCTGCAAGGCTGTTTTCTGTCTTTGAGGATTGTTTTGAATCCTCCCATGAATTCCCAGGCTACTTTCTCAGGCTGGACTGAGAGAGTTATGTGGCCTGTAATTTCTACAGGCTCTCTGTTTCAGAGTTAGCATCCACAGTGGGATTTGTATTTGAGTAGGGAATTAAGGACTGGGTATTAAATGGGATATTTTAGAGAAAAATCTTAAAGCAAATGAACACATCTGCAGTCCACTCAAACTTATGAATGGTGATAATGCATGTCAAAGTCAAATTTCTGAGCCAATCATATAAAGAAATCCCCCTACTGAGCTGTCCATGAAGCTTAGGAGAACTGAACTGTTAATCAAATGTGTCTTTGTTTTGTTTATGTTTGATATTAATGCCTTTTAAGAGCAGACAATTTATAAAGCAATAAAATATGCTTTACAGTTGTAATTTATTCCAACCTCAAATAAAACATGTTGCATTTACTTTCAGTTTACAGTATTCTTTATGAGTCATTCACAAAGCAGTCAGGACCTGCCTGCATGTGCTCTGGGAGTCCTTTCCCAGCCCTTGTTTCTGTGATGGAGCAGGAAGGCTCGGGGTGGATGCTGTGTGTTTTCAAGTTAACACAAGCATTTCATTCCTAGGTCAGGCTGGCATCAAAGGCTGCTGTGAGGTTTCTCATCTTTTGTGTCATCCACTTCGGTGTGTACCTGATTTGTGACAGGAAGGTGGCAAGAGCTGCCACCCCTTGGTGGGGCTTTCTGCCAGGGGACTACACCAAGCAGTGAGCCAGAGGACCATGGCAACATTAGGTGATGCCTCAGCAGCATCACTCCCAAAGGCTGTTGTTGGGGTTTTTGTAAAATACAGTTATGCACAGAGCATCAGTGCCACAAAAAAATCAACAAGCAAGAACTCACAATGGCCTAGCAGAGGAGTGAGTTTTTTTCTTAGGGAGTATGAGGACAATGGTTGCCTCCTTAGCAGCCTTGACACAGAGCTGGCTTGTGTCCAGCCCCTTTCCAGCTGTGTGGCAGGGGATGGTGAGGTACTGTGTGGTACAGGACCTGGATTATGCAGTTGGAGAGCCAGTGGAGATGGTGGTCACTTGAGAACTAGATTCTTATGGCTGTCTAGAGTCCTGTCCCCCGTGCCTCCCTTGCAGCCACTGCACCCACTCAGAGGGAGAGTACTGGCAGAGTGAAGTCCAGGACATGAGGAATGAGAAATCCATTTTTGGAGGTCTCTGGGTAAGCTGTTGGATCAGGCTGGGTCTCACGCATCAAACCAGGCATCATGGTAGTGGAGAAGGTGAGCTGAAAGCTGAGGTTGTACTTCAATTTCAGCTTTTTTAACAAGAAATGATTTGGTGTCCATTCCTTGGAAAGCATTCCTGCTTTCTCATCAGGAGGACTGGTGGCATGGGTTTGATGGGAAGCGCCAAAGTCCTGAGCCTCTGCCCAAGGGTTAGGTATTCCCAGAAGAAAGAGAACAGCAAGACTTGCATCATGGAAGCTAAAAGGACTCAGGAAATATTCAGAGCAAAGGTGTTCAAAGACTTTCCACATGTGAAATTTTCTATTAGGTGGGGAGTATCTGGAAGAACATCTTAATGCTGTCTGTGTGGCTTATTTCTGATTACAACTCTTCCTGCTGCACCTGCTTTGTATTTTTAAATTAGTGTCTTTAACCTAATGTGATACCATCTCTGAGAGTAACAGTGATTTTTAAAAAATACTGCACTGACTCAGTGCAAGTCTGATGCATCTGAACAATCTGGTTTTAAACAGGTAATTAAAAAAGGAAAAAAGAGATTGTGATGGTAGCTGATGCAGGGCTGAGGAGCCAGCTGGGTCCTGGGGCTGGGCTCCCAGTGAGACACCAGGCTGGGATGAGCTCTGGGAAAAAACAGTCCAGGAGAGCCCATGGGAGGAGCCAGATGTTAGAAAAAGAGAATAATGAAACCTGTATAGGAAAGAAAGTAATTGTGCAATAGTACATTAGTTTTCTTGTCATCAAACATACAAAGGCAAGCTGTCTCTGACACAGCATTTCTAGGATAACACAAACAAAAACCCCAAACCATTCATTTATTGATCAACTCTAGCATGAAAAAAAAGTCATGTTATTTAGATTGAAATGTATTTGAAAAAGAGTTCATATTTGTTGGGTTTTAGAGTTTCATTTCAAATTGATCAGATTCATATTGCTTTTCATAAAGACTTGAATCTTTGGGAATTAGAAATTTTTCTCACCTTAAATAATACGATATTGAAGCAAACCCGATCTATTTAATATTTAAGCA